AATTATGTCTTCGTTTTTGTAGCAGACCTGGTCATTATTGTTTCCTGCACTTAAGGAAAAAATAAGTCTATTAATTACCACTTACATTAGGCATATCAAGATTTTGTCCCGGCTGATGTGATCTTGATAGTCCTTTTAAAAAGGACTTTACACTGACGTCGACTTTACAGTGAATGAATTACTGTTTAGGTCCATATCTTTCTTAAAGCTCACTAAAAGAGATTTCAACTGGCAGTTCCCCAGGAAAATAATTTTTTAAAATCCAATTACAGTCTTTTTTGAATCTTCTGTTTGTCCCCACCTTCTAAAGTACCTAATTCATATTTGCAGTGCCATTGAAGATTTATGAGTTATGAGTTTACAACCAGTGCTGGCATCACCTCCCTTCAACTATTTTCTGAACAATTAGTTCCCCCAAGTGGCTGCGCCACTGAAGCCTTGCTTTGCAAATCTCCAGGGATGGTATCCTCTGTGGAACGGAATGACTGGGCAAAACCGACAAAGATAAACCACTGGATTTGCAATGCCACCAAAATAATTTCCTTTCTACTCAACTGAGTCCTGTCAGAGCAGCATGGTTTCTAGATAATACCCACTTGAAGTTAGACATGGTTGGTTGCTGAAACTGGTAGAGGCATATAGAAGCTGAAACACGCTGTCTTTGATGATGTATCTAACAGTCTCCTTCAGACAGAAGTTCCATGCTTAAACAGAAAAGAACCGGTGTTTTCATCTTTTAATAGTGATTTGTGTGGTTGCAGGGGCCAGGCATCATCTCGAGCCCATAGATTTATCTGCGTAAATGTTATTCCAAAGTTCTCTTATTGCCATAGTGACAAAAACCTCTGTGTAATTTCTTCAGCTGTAAAGGTGGAAAAAGTTATTAATAATTACAGATGCTTTATGTCTAGCTCTCTTTACGTCAGTTTTCATTTCTTGATATGAAAATACTTTGATCTGCTTAAAACCTATTAATTATGTTAACCTTAGCATGAAATGAGTAGCTTATTACTTGAAAGACTGTGCCTTCAAAAAAAAAGGAAAGCTTTTAAAGTTCACAAACACTGCATGAAAGATGTTAAGAGAACATGTGGATTTGCTAATAAATGTATTTTAAATTCATTGCAAAAGAGTGTTTAAAAATCTCTTCTGTATATATGTTCTGACTTTTATGAAAGACTTCCAAGACTTACTCCCTTTATACAGTAGCACAGAAATGGCTTTTTTTATAGAAGGTTGTATTAAGCCTTGCATTGCCCACGTTTTATATAAGATGTTGCTTTTGAATGTTGATTTACCCACATGTGGCTAATATATTTGATATTACAACTCAGAAAGGTTACCTTCAAAGCTGTTGGCCACTTGTTATTCCCTATAGAAATAGGATTTCATACATATTTTGAAAGTTACTTGTGTTGGGACAATACAGAGATATGTGAAACCTAAATCTACGATAAATCCAAAATTATGTCTTAGATTATTACTGTTGCTAGTGCTGATAATATAGTATCGAGATGCATTGATTTCTTGATGTGTTAACTTTTGTTTAACAGATCTGCTTTTGCATGGGTATTGTTTTATGTTGCACTTTGAGGACAGAGATACTGGAGCCAAGATGCTGGCGAGATTGTATTGGCAGAAAGAAGCCTTAATTGCAGACAGAAACCTTAAATAGAATCATAGAATGGTTTGGTTGCAAGGGACCTTTAAAAGTCATCTGGTCCAACCCTCCTGCAGTGAGCAGGGACATCTTCAACTAGATCAGGTTGCTCAGAGCCCCATCCAACCTGACCTTGAATGTTGCCAAGGATGGGGCATCTACCACCTCTCTGGGAAACCTGTTCCAGTATTTCACCAACCTCATCGTAAAAAACTTCTTCCTTCTATCTAGTCTAAATGTTCCCTCTTTTGGTTTAAAACCATTACCCCTTGCCCTATCGCAACAGGCCCTGCTAAAAAGTCTGTCCCCATCTTTCTTATAAGCCCCCTTTAAGTATGGAAAGGCTGCAATAAGGTCTCCCTGGAGCCTTCTCTTCTCCAGCTTGAACAACCCCAACTCTCTCAGCCTTTCCTCATAGCAGAGGTGTTCCATCCCTCTGACCATTTTTGTGGCCCTCCTCTGGACCCGCTCCAGCAGGTCCATGTCCTTCCTGTGCTGAGGACCCCAGAGCTGGACGCAGTGCTGCAGGTGGGGTCTCAGCAGAGCAGAGTAGAGGGGCAGAATCACCTCCCTCGACCTGCTGGCCATGCTTCTTTTGATGCAGCCCAGGATACAGTTGGCTTTCTGGGCTGTGAGCACACATTGCCTGCTCATGTCCAGCTTTTCATCCACCAGTACCCCCAAACCCTTCTCTGCAAGGCTGCTCTTAGTGCCTACATCCCTCAGCCTGTATTGATATCAGGGGTACCTTGCACTTGGCTTTGTTGAACCTCATGACGCTCACGTGGGCCCACTTCTTAAGCTTTTCCAGGTCCCTCTGGATGGCATCCCATCCCTCAGGCATGTCAACTGCACCACTCAGCTTGGTGTCATCTGCAAATTTGCTGAGGGTGCACTCAGTCCCACTCTCTAGGTTATTGATGAAGATATTAAACAGTACTGGTCCCCATACGGACCCCTGAGGGATACCACTCATCACTGACATCCATCTGGACATTGAGCCATTGACCACTAATCTCTGGATGCGACCATCCAGCCAATTCCTTATCCACCAAATAGTCCACCTATCAAATCTGTATCTCTCCATCTTAGAGAGAAGGATATTGTGGGGGACTGTGTCAAAGGCCTTACAGAAGTCCAGATAGATGACAGCATGATAGTGAAGCAACTCCTATGTATACTTTCAAACAACAGAGGAAAGCAATTCCAGAAATTAAGAAAGCAGAGTTACCTAACAGTAGAGATTATTAATGTTTTTTTCTCCATCCCTTTTTTTTTTTTTTGCATAAGTTACATTAGATGCTAATTTTCTGAAAAGTAGATCTGTAAAAGCTTTGGTATGTATCAATATATGGTAGATAGTGCAATAAAGATGTTTCAGGAAAAAAAAAGACTGAATTAGACAGGAAACTGAAGAACTTCCCTAAATACGAACTATGTACCCATGATCTTGGATTACTATATGAGTTATGTCTCCAAAATGACTGTTTATGCCAAAAATAGTTTTAGCTTATTCCCATACTGAAAAATGTAGCTAGAAATTTTAAGGTTGAATGTCTGCTTTAATGGAGTCCAGTTAATGTCAAAAAAGCCTTTTTTGTTGTGTAACTTTGTTGTTGTAATGCTCTCTTCTGCTAAGAAGAGTCTTTTGGAGACTATTTAAGGAATCCAGGAAGTATCCTACTGCTCACAGAATTTCTTGAAATACACTATAATCCTAATCCCTTAAGATAATGAACTTGCATAGACTTTAAAGCAAAGAAGACCTTTCTAAATGATAAAATGCTTAGTGCACAACTAGCAAATCACATTGATGCTCAAGTCAGAATTAATTATATATAGCTTTAAAGAGGTCTTTATATATTCCCTTTTAGAATATTAGCAAACTATTTTGATCTCGTTCCTCCTGTGGTATACCAGAACATGTTTTGTAAGCGTATTTTTACATTCTGTATCTTAGTGTTTGAGTGAATTCTGTACTGTAATTTTCCAAACTTGCATTAGAATACTTTGTTATATTGTTTATTTTTCTAATCTATTTTAAGTTGCACAAAAGGACTCCTATGTAGACATAATTATATTACTCTTAAAAAAAATCAGGTACTAAAAAGGTAAGAAATGCAAGATAGGAGGTTATCCCTGTGGCTTAAATACTTCTTTCCAAATCACATGTAATAGTAATGTTCCTTACCCATCTTAAGTCTGCTTTTAATTCCTATATCCCACCCTGACTCTTTGGCCTAGACGCTTTCCAAGTCTCATTTCTAGTTCTCTTGTCCTTTTCCTGCTTGCCCTGTGTATATCCTAGTTTCTCTTCCACACCGTCAGCTCAGCAGTTAAAGAGATAAGGAGAGGCCATTTCCTTGTTCCAACTTAGATGGTTGGACCTAAAGCTATAGTTTTAGGAAAAATCCAGCCCAGCTTGAAGCAGGAGGCATGTTCAATAGAATGTAATCACTGGAAAAATTAGCTGCTTAAGGTATCTGTTGAACACATGCCAAGAGCTTACCACTTTGCCAAATTTGGGCAGCTTTTCATAGAAAAGCTGTGTCAAATATCAAGGTCTTCGTCTAATGCACAGATGTGTTACTAGATTCTTCTTTTTGGTTGTTCAGGTTTTTTTGTGGTTTGGTTTTTGGTGTTTTTTTTTTTTTTTTTTAAACTAAGACATACCTTGGGGATGGCTGGCATTTTCTGTTGAAATTAATTTTTGAAAATTATCTGAGGCAAATACCCAGAACAGAACATTACACCCAAATAGTTACTATTGGGCAAAGATAGAAACTACTGCAAATTAATTGTTATAATGTGTAGAGCTGGGCACTCCTGATTTGTAGGCTTTATTACCAGCCTTCCTTTATATAGGTGTGTGGCAGAACTAGTTTTGAACACAGAAGACCAAATTCTATTTTCTAGAATATCTGCAGTTCCATTGATTTACATGGGATTACGGAAAGTGTAAATCAGCATAGAATTTAGCCCCCATATTTAAAAGCCTCACTAAAGCTACTGAACCTTCATTTTTCTGAGCTTTTTGGTTTGGTGCTGTTGACTGTCTGCCATGACACTGAAGCTAAAGCATCCCATCTGCTTACCACATTAACCAGCTTTACTCAGTTATTAAGCTATCACCTTGTATTTGGCATGTAATATATTCGATTTTAAAACATTTTTTGAGGAGAGAAAAATGGCAAAGAGCAAGAAGCAGTAGCTTTCTTAATGCATTAACTGGAAGTTAATGTTTTATATTGTCTTTTTCTGGGCTTTGTTGGTTTTGGGGGTTGTTTGGGGTTTTTTTTGTCCTGGGATCTATTTATAACTGACTGAAGCACTTTTGCAGGTGGTGTTTTTTTGCATGCTAATCCTGCAGAGAAACATTGTGTCCAACAAAGTATGCTGGGTCAGCAAAAGCAAGAAACTTGTGCTGGAAAGACAGTATCCACAGGTATTTAGTGTGTATGGAGATTTGGCAAAGTGAATGATTAACTGTCGTTGAAAGAAATGAATCTAATATTGTCTGTTACAAGGTTGTGAATTTTTTTCTTTCCTGTAGAACAGATAGTCTTCCTTTCAAAGTCAGCAAAAGACTCAGCAACGTAAACATGCATTTAATAAAATAGTTCATTAATCTTTTTCATCTGTATTCTGCCTTTCCCTTCAAAACAAGATGATCCTTTTTTGTTTTATTTTCTGTCACTTGTCCAGTCATACACAAATTAAATACGTACCTACACAAGTGAGGTGGTCCTACAAGGTTTATTTAAAAAATTAACACTGTTACACAGTGTTTTCTGGCATTTTGGTGGTTTATTTTAATGGTCAAAATAGACCAGATTAGTGGGGAAAATTTAAATTTCTTCTGATACTTTCTACAATGTCTGCGTTCACCAATGTTATGTGCTTTACGTAGAGAACAAACTGAAGGAGGTACAGAAGAAGGCAGAACAGACTGGAGTAGACCAGACTTGAATGACTTAGGAGGGAAGGGGAACCATGAATGAACAGCAGCCCCATAGAAGACTTTCTTTCCTCCAGAGGACTCTTCCCAGCATGGCTATATCAGAGACTTTGATGCATCATTGATTTTTTTATTGGTGCATCACTGTCCAGTCCTATACAATTCTAAGGTGATTTAGAAGGGGTCAAAGCTCATGACATCCTGCAAGTTTCTGAGTGATTTGATACTTGCAGGTACTAACATAGTAACCATTAATCTTTTAACAGAGACTTTTAAAGTAAATGGATTGAATTGCATTTGATTTAACCTTGTGCTTAATTATTTAAAAGTGTCTACCTGTTGCCCCGACTCCATGCCTATTTGAAAGACTGAGAACACAGTAGTTAAAAATGAGCTTCACGTTATTCAGATATTAAATCTAATGTTTTCATTAATTTCCTTTATTCTTAAAGAAAAATTTAGAGAAAGTATAAAAATTGTTGCCTTCCAGTGAAGGACCCGTAGACTGACTTGTAGAAAGAATGTTGTCTAAAACCAAGAGCCATCCTCAAAAATGCCATTGCAGAGCCTCCCTTAACTGAAAATTCCCCTTTTTAGATGCAAGACTTACTGGGTTTGCATAGGCGTAAAGGCTTTTCCTCGGGTCACAACCAACAACAAGTCAAAATGAGTCCTTTGAATCAGAGACAGAAATAATTTGGAAGAATATGTGGAATAGAAGTGGAATGTCCCTGAGAGATGCATATTAAGTTTCCAAGTGGCCTTCTGGTAGCCAGACAGCTAGAGCATATTAAGTCCTTCAGTGTCAGGGTGGCGAAGACATGAATTATTGTAGCGATCACTGTGTGCAAAGGAAGTTGTTGAAACTTTTCACCAAGTATAAATGGAAAAAGTAGTTTTGGTCACTGATGATACTTGCACGCTCTGGGTGGGGTCAGTAGGATCTCCGCTCTGTGAATTGACTGGTTGCTTTTTCCTGATCCAAGATGCTAAATAGTCTTCCACCAGTTCTTCCAATTAGCTTTCCCAGTCCACAAACAAAATCTTAACGGAGTCTGAAGGATCATCAGACAGCTAGTGTGCATCTAGCCCATCTCTATATTTAGACACTGGCTAAGCTGCTTAACTACAGCAGCTGTGTTGGATGAGAGGGAAATACAGAGTTGAGTATCGTTTGCTTACCAGAGGCACTGCAATGAACATTTCTGCACTGAACTGTCTAATGTAAACTTGGGGAAAAAAAAAGAAAAAAAAAAAAAAGTTGTACCGAAGGCTGATACCAAACATAGCTTACCTGGGAGACATATTTATGACAAAATTAAACTAGTTGGAAAAAGAGCGTTCATATAAAAATCCCTTCTCAAACAGTTATATCAATGCTTAGTGTTGTGTTAACTGCATATGAATAATATTGATCTAAATGGACCTTGTTTCAAAGAGCATTTTGTGATTGATATTCATGAAGGTCCCGGCTTCTAGAATGATACTTTCTTGTGGAATGCTGAGAAAATATGTGGAGAGACTGTCTTTAAAGAAAAGTGGCTTTACTGCCTAATTTTGCAATAGGCATGTCAATGTATTTGAGAAGCATATGCTTATTTTTAAAGCTAGTGTCATGCATTATTTCTACAAGTATTTCCTCCTAACCTCAAATTGACCTTTCTTTTGTGGCGCTTTGGCAGCCATTTCTGCACTTTTGTAGAGGTGCCATGTCTGCAGCAAAACTTACGTCTTTTCCTGAACTCGCATCATTTGCTGCCGCTGGTTGGAGAGCAGGTGCCTTATAACTTGGAATGTAAAGAGCACAGGTCGCAGTCTGCTGAAGTGCCGGCTTTCCTAAAAAGTTTATGCAGATCAGTGAATGAGATTTTGAAATAAAAAGGGAGAGGGACAAGCTAAATGTGAGAGAGAATGGAAACTACTTTGTGTTGAATATTGTAGCAAGCTGAGTAACTGCTGATTTGGAAAAAGTCTTTAACGTCAGTATATGGCGAGCGTGATCTGGAAAAATAAGAGCAGACTGTCACCTAAAAGAAAAATATACTTGTTCTGTCATCTACTGTATTTAAGCTGTACAATATGACCTGTAACTAGCATTGAAGTTCAGGGCTAATTTGGTTAACGATTACAATACTTTACATAATTTTATTGTACTTCTCAGAAGCTCTTAAAAGTGTTTCCTCAAAAGCAGCAACAAGAAGATACCTTGCAGGAAACAAAACATAATCTGACTATTGTTAGCAATCTTAGTAGTTGAAAAGATAAAGGTTTCTATGTATTTAGTGATTGTAGATTGGCAAAAATGGAAATTCTTAGTGAGAAATAGTACATGCTCCTAGCTTTTAGGGAATAAAAAGGGCTAGTGGGAAACAGAATTTTAAACTTACCATGTTTCTGCCTTTTCCAGGTTGCACAAACTCTGTAGGCCTGGACTTATCCCTGTGTATAGGGATCTCTCTTTATATTTGTGCAGGATTTCCATATGCACAAATTTTCCAGTTTGCACAGAATATCTAGAAATTCTGGAGCAGAAAGTAAGTTACGGTGGTGTCCAGTAGTTTCACTTAATTGGAGGATCAAGAAGGTGCACAATAGACTTGGGGTTTGATGCTGTAGATGGCAATAAAAGGATCAAAGGTTTATGCCCTGCATAGTTATTACTCTATGAACCTGCTGTAGGTCAAAGAGTTTTGAGAAACATCAGACCTACTATGTATGAACTGTACAGTTTATACGTGATTGCTCAGTGAATCTAGCATGTCCTGAAGGCAGTGGATTTATCTGTCCAGGAGTTCTGGTCATGAAATCTGATCGCTCTGTAACTTACAGGGCATGTTGCAAAGTGTGTGACGTCTGAGAAGAACATCCGGGATCAAGATAAACTGGAGTTTCCAGTGTTGGTAGTGATTCACAGTTACCTCTTTAAGTCAGTAACTATGTATAAGTGCATTTGTAATACAAGGCTTTAAAATGGTAAGGAATGGAAACTTCCCCATGGAATTACCTTACTGCAATATTTCAAGGTCTCAGCGTTTACTTTTACATATTCTATTCAAATGTGATTCCTCTCTCAAAATGAATTTTTCTTACATTGTTGCCTTCCCAAATTGCCTTTCTGCTTGGGATCTTTGTAGTTGAATTTTCAGTGGTTGAGATTGTTGGGAATTTTTTTTTTTCCAGGAAACCTATCCCAGTTTTTGAGAACTAGAAGCAGGAGTTGAATTTGGGAGTGGGTAATGAGGCTGTTCTATGAAATGCTAGTGGTACAATTAACTATGTATCAAATCCTTTTTTATGGAGTGTCTGAAAGGTCAGCATATATCTCTGCTGCCCAATGCAGATTATATCTTACACACATTACTTTTTTCCTTTTATTTGTTTTACTTAATTATCCTCACATTCTTCTTTACTAAAATGTTTGCAACGTTTACCAACACAAGTAGAGACAGGAAGGAACTGTGATATAACCTTGATAAATTGCATCTTTCAAGAAAATACTTGAATAACTTACTACAGTAGTTCTATTGTGCATTAAAGGCACTTAAACAATGTGTGTGATTGGGTATTTAACAATGGTATATCTTCTCTCAATTCCTCTTTGATTTTATTACACATTATTTGCATGTTTTATAGCAGTAATTTTTTAAAGACTTCATCAGGTAAGCTTTGGCCTGTATCTGATAAAGCCCACAAATTCTAAATGTTACAGAAACTTTCAGAATCTGAAAGATAGCATGACTCTGGTTGAGAGATATGATCAGTGCTTAGAAAAGTTCTTCATCATGGAGTTTAAATCCCGTCCCTGTTAATTCTTCCAGCTGAATATTGCCAGCATGCTAGTGCAGCTTTTCCAGGGCAGAAGAGGCTTGTAAGTGTATTTGTTCTGAAACGACATGTAGTTTCTAACCTAGAATGAAACATCCATTTAAGATTAGATTAAGAGGCAGGTTTTTTGCGTATCTATATTCAAGCATATTGCTTCAGGGAGTATTTCTGGTTTGTCCATGAAACTTTTACAATTCTAAACTTAATGGCCATTTAAATATCTAAATATTTTTAATAAGTTTGTGTGTAATAGTATCCTTTGTAATCAGTTTTATTTTTGATACAGTAATTTTTAAAAAAGAAATACTATATATTACATTATATCTTTGTTATGTTATTATTACAGATAAACACAAATCCCCTTCGGATATAATACGGAGTTTTCAGAAGAAAAGTCAGTTTAGGACCATTGCTCCAAAAATGGTGCCAAAAATTTTAACATCTGGAGTGGTTTCTTGTCTTCAGTCATCTTTGCCTGAGCAAAATACACCGATTTCAGCTGCAGGTTCTAAACCGCTGGTGGTACCAACTCAAAACTATGCTGTCATGCAGGTGGCTGGGCATGAGGGAACTTTTTCTTTGTTGGCCTTGCCGTATGTTGCTCCTGCCCTAACACAGCAAGTCCCGCAGTCAAACATGGCCCCTTCTGAAAACCTAAAGCTGCCTATCCCTAGGTACCAATCTGTAAGAAATAAATTGCTGAATGACAAAAAACTGGCACAAATGTCTGGTTTGGGTGCACATAAGATTCCTGCCAAAGCATCGACCTCATCGCAGACTTCCCCCATGACTGCCTTAACTGAAGACTGTCCTGAAACTCATTCTAATTCAGATCCAACTGAGCAAGTGATGCTAACAGACCGTGACTCAGCTGAAATTACAGTTGCCACATTAGTAAATAAAAGCAATTGTGTGGAATCTGGATCTCCTTTAGTGAACAAAACTGAAGTTGCTAACGGTAATGTTTCTGGACCATCTGTAGTTAAAGACTCTTTATCCAAGCTGGCAAGTACAATTAATCCCATGAAACTAAGTCTACGCTCTGAGAAGACAGCATCTGAAATCACAGGAGAGTCATTCATAATGTCTGAGAAACTAAAGGAAAAACCCACAAATTCTGCAAATTCTGTTGCTGTCCTGTCACCAGCAGTTTTTGGCAGTACAGTACAGATGACTCCATCAGCACCAAAAGGAAAACTTCCTATTTTGCCTTACTCAAGGATGAAAAATTCAGTGTTCTGTAAATCTAAGCAGAATACTAATGTTACAGATGTACCTGGTCCTTCATTAAGATCTGAATGTGAAAAGATACCAGCTTTGGTGAAAACCTTTCATGTTCCTGCTAAAGCATCTGATAAACGATTAGCTGTATCATTTACACAAGTCCCCAGACAAACCGTTCGAGAAAATACCTTCTCTCCATCCAATAAAGTGGATGTTGACAGTCTTAAAAAATTGAACGGTGCAGCCTCTAAAAGAAGAGGCAGGAAAAGAAGAGCCCCAGATGATTTATTGGCTTTTCAGAGCAAGCGAAGGAAATGTGTCATTAATAAGTTTAGAGAAGGAAGAGAGAGGGTGAAAGTTGATCTTCAGCCACCTGAAAACAAAAAAGCAGACGCAGTGAAAAAATACCGTAGTATTAGACCAAAACCAGTGGTAGTTGTGCAGGCTTTTGCACCATTGACTTCTGCAGCAATAGTAGAGACACCATCTCCTGACCATTTAGACGAAGATATTTTTTTAAATAGTTCACTTCCCAACAAATATTTAAGTTACAAGCATAGTGACGCTACATCAGCTAAATCAAGTGAGTTAAGCAGAAATGCATGTTCAACTGTACCTAAGCCGTCACATAAATGTCATGTTTGTAACCATATCTTTCAGTTTAAACACCATCTTCAGGACCATATGAACACACATACAAACAAACGGCCTTACAGCTGTCGAATTTGCCGGAAAGCATATATTCACTCCGGAAGCCTGAGTACGCATATGAAACTTCATCACAATGAAGGCAAACCCAAAAAACTTGTGTGTTGTGAATTCTGTGCTAAAGTTTTTGGCCATGCAAAAGTGTATTTTGGTCACCTAAGAGAAGTGCACAGGGTTGTTATTAGTACAGAGCCCTCTACCAGTGAGCAACAGCTGCAAGATGCTTTAAAGAAGAGAGACACGAATGTAAAAGAAGCAGAAGAAGCAACGGAGAGGTGAGTGTTTTCACTAATTTAATGCTAATGAGAACAGGATTTCAGGTTGTCAGTGAAAGTTCATAAACATCACCATTATGAAAATTGTTGCTTTTTCTTTATCTTTTTTTTCCCCCAAAGTGACATTCCTAATGGTTTAAATATTTTGTTAAGGAATCCAGTCAATCCATTAGACCATGCAGCATATTTTAACTGATTTATTGAATATAAATTATTACTGATACTTGAATATCCAAAGTAATATTGCATGTATTCTAGTAATACCCAATATACTGCCAGTGGAGCTATTTTGATCAGTTGATTTCTCATCGCTAACGCTTTTTCTGTTAATCTGCGCTGTCTTCTGTGTTCTGCCCATTTTGGGTTTTCCCCAGAAGGTAAGCGAACCAACTGCAGTAAGTGCAAAGCATTTCATATTTCAGTATTAGCTTGTAGTTTGTTTACCCTATTAAATATCATTATCCCATTTCCTTCTCTGGAGTGCTGTGAGCTAATCTGTCTTGTGTGTTGATTACTGCTGCTGCTCTTGTGATCATTTAGCCAAGCAGAAAAGTTAACATTTTACCGTATTAAGATGGATAGAACATTCTTTTATCTCTGCATTATGATTTTGAGGAGAAATCTCTTGACACTGTGTAAATGTTGGCTTTTTTGTTTGTTCCACTGTGCATTTACTTTCATTGAAGTATGTTTTAATAAGCTCAGGGCTTTAACCTGATGCCTCACTACAACACTACAGGTCAATTTTACACATTTTGCTTTGCATAGCTCCACTCTCTGGGGCATTAGTTAGATATTTTTAAGGTACTGAACCGAAGAAACACCAGCACTTTTCTTTCAGCCTTACTAGCCTTCGTACAATGAATCGTTTAGTTTATCTGTTTTGTTGGGCGATATGTCTAATGTGTGTAAACACACAGTATCACGTGGTCCTTTTGATAGAGATTGTGAGAAGGTTTCTGTGGAGGTCATCTTTTGATTGGCTTAACTTAAACCAGGGACTTGCTAGCTCTGTGTGTATCCGTTTCCTTCATACTGCAGAGCTGTCCTAAATCAATGAGAGGGGCTGCCCAATTGTAAATCAGGTATTAAACTTCTAAAACTGTGTTACAAACTTTTAGGAAAAAAAAGAAATTTTGAGGTTTCATTGTTTCCACCTTGGAGTGGGAGGCAGGACATGTGGTTTTGCCTTAGATTGACCTTAGATCACTCAGTGTAAAATAGTTGGTTTCTCTTACTAGTACGCTACACCTAATATTCATTTTCACTTTTCTAGCACAGAGCTAGAAGAATTTGGATTGACCTCACTAAATCAGGAACTTAGAAAAATGTTATTAACCTTTTATTAAAAGTAGACAGTTGTTAAAAGATTTTTTCTACCAAGGCTAATTTTGGAGGCAATTCTTAAACTCAGCAGTGTTGAATAACATTTGGTTTTAGTTGTTTCCTAATCAGCCTTATTATTATTTTATTTTTCTTTTTTTGTTGTTCCAAATAAATTAGATACTGTAGCCTGTTTTTAATTAAAAGAATGTTTCATGAATGTCATCTCTTCTTGAAACTTATAAGGACAGAAATTGCCATCTCTATTCTTTGCATGGCTAATACTGAAATAGTTTGTATTTCCCTTTTTTAACAGGGGAAATAAGTGCAATTTTGAGGACCTATTCCATAACCCAGGAGAAGTGAAATTACAGATCAAATGTGGTCGATGCCAGTTTATTGCACAGTCTTTTGGTGAAATGAAGTTTCACTTACTGTGCTCTCACGGAGAGGAGATCCAGGGAAGAGTAAAGGAAGGGGCATTGCAAGGAAACAGAGGAGCTAAGGGGGAACTGATCAAACATGGAACCCACTTCTGGAAACAGCGCAACGAGAGAAGACACTTAGCAAAATGCAGTGCCCGTGAGGAGGAGTTTTATACTTACCCGAAACTGAAAAGACAGATATACTTTCACCATCAAAATAATGTTGATATGTTATCTAAAAGTGAACTGACTCACTCAGGAGGTGGTGAAGCAGCCAAGGAGATGCAAAATGTAGGTTTTGGTACACCAAGCAAAAAAATAGAAATTTGGTCTAAAGCGGGCTATAACTGCATTTTATGCAAACAGTTCTTTGGAAGAAAAGAGGATCTTTGTAATCATTGGCAGAGTCACCATAACTGTGAAGACCCCTCTACTTTATGGACAATTTTTAGTTTGTTATCAAAACAAGGAATTATTGAACTTTCTAATAATGGTGAATATTGAAGCTCAGTTCTACAATGCTATGAACAACATCAGCTACCTTACCCAATTGTTTATGTTTTTTTGCTGTGTTGCTAAACTAACCCAAGAGATGTATCACTTCAGAGGTTCGTTTGGTGGGTTTGTTGGGGTTTTCTTAAGTTATGCTAACCTTTATTTTGTTAAACAGAAAATGTATTTATCCAGTATCGTTCCAGATGGGTACATGCAAGCCGATTATGAAACACTGTACTTAAAATTCATGCTTAAGGAACTTAGCAGCAGCAAATACTCAGTACTAATGGTTAACATCAAGGAAAAAGATTCTCAAGTTATACTATACACACAGAAATAAATCAGTTTATATGAAGTAATGTCAATCTTGAATGAAATGACAAACCAGACTGAAAGTGTAATTTCAGTCCCAACTGTGCTTCCAGATTTTATGGTAAATATATATTTCCATGCAGTTCTCTGAATCATTTGAATGTGCATACATGCAGCCGGCATTCAGGAGCTTTATAATCTATAATTTAAGAGCTTTTAATTCTTGTTTTCTTGATTTCAGTGTCTTCAACCATGTTCATTGCTTGTAGGTTTGTTATTGGCAGGTCTTTCAGGTGTTATATTCTGTTCTGGTAACAGCAAGGATCTTTGGATTTTTAAAGTGAAAAATCTACATGTATTTTTTTGCCTGTAGCTCTTTGGGTTGAAGACGAGTTAGTTGCCACCCATGAAGATGGAACCCTCAAAGCTTGACTGCTTTATGGAAAAAAAACAAGTTTTTTTTAAAAATAGTAATCTGAGTTGGTTACTTCTGGGAAGTTTGACATTCTGCAATAGACTGCATGTTTCACAGTGAACTTTTAGCATATTTCTTGCACCTCCTGTGACAGCAGCGCTACTGCTGCCAGCACCGTTAGCACTCTGCCTTTAACACTCTTGGTATATAGCTTTTGTACCTCTGCAGTTGACCCAGTCTATGGCTTTAAAGGGAAATTGTTCCTTCACTTCTAAGTCTATGGTACAGGTAATGAGGTTTTTTAACTTTTGTTGCCAGATTTGCTGTACTAGAGGAATTGCATGCATCACCTTAACCTTCCAGCATCAGGAACCAGTAAGAGTTGCCTTACCAGGATGCAAAGCAGCAGCAGCAGCCTGTCATGCAGAAATAGTGCATGCTGCATCCCCTGCTACAGAGCAGGCACGGTTAAGTGACCATTTCAGCACATCTCCAAGGGGGCAAGTCAGTTCAGGCTGTAAGGAGATGGAGTTCTGGAGCTCAGTTTTGATGCAAATGTCATTGAACCATTGAATCTAGTTTGAAATTGGTGTTTAAACTGCCGTTACTTAAAGGCTTATGTACCTCTGAATTATTTGGGGAGCAGTAATGGAGGCAGCATAAGAAGTCACTATATCACTGTTCAACAGAAGTCAGAGCACATCAGAGGGCAAACTGAAAACTACACCAATACTGTCTCTACAGTACTACTCTATCCATTTCTTCTTGTGGTCAAACTATAATTGAGGGATTGCAACAATGAAGGAGTCGTTCCTAAAATGTCCTGGGTGGCTTCTCAATGTTTTGCAGAAATTGTGCTGATGAGAACATGAGAAGAGATCTAAAAATGTTGGGTTTTCTGAGTGGGATTACAGAAGATGTTGCAATATGTTGTGTATTTGTTTTGTTTTTAAACAGTAAAGGCAGTTTTGATGAGCTAATAGTTTTGAATGTAATTTCTTCTTTTATGGTGCTTTGCCCTGGAGTTGAACTATAAAACTGGAGCCAAGAGCAATAAAAGACAAAAGAAAAATGCTCATAGAACTGTACAGGTGCCTGGTAAGGTGGAAGAATCCCTGTGGGTTTTAAAAACTTCCTTCCTACTATCTGTTGCTATAAATACATATTTGTGGTTGTTTCTTTGCTTTCATATATTACTTTTGTATGCTGAACTACTTTAAAAATACTACTCGTTCTTACTCTTGGGTATGGCACACCCATTTTTTAATGCATACAGTATATTCATATTTATTTTCACTGGGTAGATGGAGAAGAATATATGGCGTATTTGTAAAGGAATAGCTAATTTTAAAGCCAGTGTTTCATATCAGACTGAGACTGTATTTAAGTTAGTAGAGTGTGTTTGCATTTAGAAGCATTTTTTTCCTCCATCTTAATCTTTTAACTTTCAAAATCAAACAGCTTGGTGTTTTCTCTGAAAAAGAAATGTGAGAAAAATCCCTCCATCTCATAGTTATAATATATCAAAGGGAAGTTCATTCCCAGCATAAAGCACGCATTTTAAGAGTTGGGAAAAAAAAATTTAAAAGGTTTGATCATGTTCATTTAGAATGGACATTAAATCACCTTTCTTGCAATATCACCCATTCCCTGGTATAGATTAAGGTGAGCTGAAATGAATGCAGCTCCGACATGGAGTCGCTCCTGTTCAGGAGCAGCATCAATGATGGCAGAGTTGTCCTTCAAACATATTTTCAAAAAGCATTTGTTAAAAACGGTGTTGCATCAGAGCCAGTGATGTAGACGAGTGGTTTGGTGGTGGCTGTCAGGCAAGAAGAGTCACTCCCTTTCATGTAAAAGCGGGGGGGGGAGCTGCAACGATGATGGGAGGAAAGAGGTTTGGGACGAGGGAGTGGGTTGCTTTTTTTTTTTTTAATGGAAATTTTCATGTACAGTCTTTTCTTTTCATCAGATTTTTGTCCTTCTCTCCCTTTCAGTAGTCCAGGCCAAATGGATAAAGGGGTCTCAGCTTTCAGCAATTTAAAGCCTGAAAACATGTTTTAAAGTATGGTTCTAAGCCACTTCTCAGTGTCCTCGTAAATGTTTAAAATTAGAAGCCTTTTTTTCTGAGCCTGAAAGCATTCTTATGTTTCAGGCTATTACGATTATGGTAGATTATGGAAGGTTGGGATTTTTGAAAATAGCTTTGCATTAAATACAGATGTGTCCTTTGTTTAAAATGTGTTTGTTTTGCGTTTGTGTTCATTTTGATAACATTTGGAGGTATGAAGTGAGCCTTATTTACAGCAAAAATAAATAGTGCATGTTTGCTGTTCAGCGGAAGGGTTGTTATGAATACAGTTTGCTGTTTACCTTGAAGCTGGAAAAGTTAACATCTGGTTTTGCACATAAATTATGGTTTTAAACTGTTAAAATGAATGTTATTGTTTTTGTAGCTGTAGTTTTGTTCCCCTCTGATTTTTCATTAAATCTCTGTTTCAGCTTCACTGTTCAACTTTAAAGCTGTTCCTCACATGGAAAGTTGTTCCTTCATCATCACACCATAAATAATCAAAGCTGGAGGCGTTCCACCGCTTCTCTGGCTTGCAGAGTATTGCCCTTCTCCAGCTGCAGAGCTACAGTTTCCTATGGCTAACTTGACATAGTCACTGGCAGTAAATGTTTTACTTCATTTATTTATTAGAATTTAGATCTCTGCTGTTTAGCTCCATCATGGTTTCTGTCATACCTCATTAGATACTTATTTTATCTAGTATTCACTGAGCTCTTCGGAGAAAGTGACATAAGGAGGATGAACAGGTATTTACGAGAGCAGATTTCAACCCTAACTTTGTGCAGATGATGCTGACGTTTGAGAATCACCAGCTTATCTAGGCTCAGCTGTGTAGTATATTATATTTCTACAACACATCCACCTACATGTGCATCTATTTTGGAAAGAAATGTATACTTCAAATTCAGCTGTCAGTTATTATTATCAAACCTGTACAATGTAGGTTTGTGATAATTATGCATAAAGATTAAAATGCTATTAACCGTAGTAGGTTTACTTGTCAGATTGCTTATAGCTTTGAAAAAGGAAAATCTCTGCATGCTGAGTATGACACAGAAAAAGTCTAGTCTCATGAAGAAAATTCTGATGGCTTAAAAAGGTTGTCCTCATTTCAGTGTGTGCTTTTATAGCTGATCTGTCACATTGTAGGATTTTCTCCACTTTTTATTAAATTGCCATCATTTTTCTTGGTTAGGAATACTGAAGAAGACCTGAGCCTGCAAGCAAGTTTCAGGAAAATATGTGTTTACTTCCTTTCTCCATACAGGCAGACACATCTATGGAATCAAAATAGTCTTGATGGCCTTGCCTATACAGGCACAATGTGGGGCAACGTGCAAGAGTTGGGCTTCAGTGTATGACTTTATGTGGCTGACCATTCTGCAGTTCCAAAGTAGAAACTACAAGTTTGAGTGTAAAAATAACTTAGTTTTCAGACTTGAGTGAATTTCTAATACCTTATTGACAAGCCTTCAAGAAATCCTAAAAAATGACAATAGCTTTTTTCTCTGCTTGTGCTTTGTGTAACAATTTTATTGATGTAGTAGTACCAGGAGTGTTCTAAAATATGATAGATCTGGCACTGTTGAATACAAAGGAAGCTTTCTCCCTTCCATTTTTTTTTTTTTCATTTTATTGACTTTTCCATGTAAGCATTAGAAATGATGGGATGAATTATGATTTCTGCTGCTGACAAATCCAGAAACATTATTCTGAAGTTATTTTGCAGAAATTTCCAATTTAATCTAGAATAACAGGTGAAATCAGTGAAAAGCAAATTCTATTGGAAAGAGATACGTAACAAAACTGTCCCATGTGTGGATTTCTCTGCACAATTACACTGCTGTAGATGAAATTTATAGATGATAGGTCTTCTGCTGGTAGGCACAAACAGTTAGTTCTTATCCAGAGTTGTTTAGAGTGGCCAAGGGAAGTAAGAATTAAAAAATGTCCATACCTTCTCTTTGACTTGCATTTTGTTGAATATTTCTACTGTTGTGCCAGTCCAGATCATGGTCCAAGGCACGTAGATACTCAAACGCTTTCTAGGGGACTTGCAGCATAATTCAGTGGAGGAAAGGGGAAGAAGTATGCGAAGGAAGTAGTGACGATGAAGGTTGGCACAATGTGTTGAATATAAGGTCAAGCTTCAGCCTGACTAGCCTTTGATGGTCTGTATACGTGGAAGTGTCCTGTAGCCTTAGTCTGAACTTCTCCCTTCCACCCACTGTGGTTACGTGGTTCCAGAGTCTGCTCCCACTTGAGGTACATCAGTCTGGAGCATCCT